GGTTTTGTCTGGAAAAGCTGGGGGAGGAATTTTAAGCCAGGGGGTGGTTTGCCAGGTGCTCGCTGGGGGAATTGCCCCCCGTCCTCATTGCCAGGGTGGGATGCTGCCGGTCGGCAAAGCGGCTCCTGTGCAGCCGGCGGGAGCAGTTCCACCTCCAGCAGCACTGATCCTTTCGCACATCTCTTCCTCTCCTGTCTTGATATATATATATAAATGTATTATTTTTTTAATGTGTGGGTATATATAAATGGGGATGAGGATGAGGATGGATGGGGATGGAGATGGGGAAGAGAAGAGGCAGGGGGATGGAGATGAGGAGGAGGAGGAGGATGGGGACAGGGATGGAGATGGGGATAAGAAGAGGGAGGGGGATGAAGATGAGGATAAGGAGGAGGAGGAGGAGGAGGATGGGGACAGGGATGGAGATGGGTGGGTGTGGAGGACACTGTGCGAACACCCCGGCTCTGCTCCCCGACAGCTCCTCTGATGTGTGTGTATATATATAAAGAATGTAGATAATGTATCGATCGAAGTGTGTTCTGGATTTGCGTGGAGTTTGGGTTTGTGACCCTTTTTATCCGCCGCGCTTTGCTACAGCCGTCGCATCGCCCAAGCGGTCTGTAACGTCCGGCGCTGAGCCTTTTACATCGGCGTTTTGCAGGCGTTTAATGTCCACGCTTCGCGGGTTTGTGCTCTCGGCAGTGCCTTTACCTCCCGTATGCTTCTCCTTTCAATAATGCAATTACTTACCCTCCCGAGGAGCTGTCAGTGCCGGTAAACTCCAGCTGCTAAACCGCATTACACAGCTCTCTCCTGCAGCCTTTGCAGTTATTAATAGTTTATTGATCCCCATCACCGGCAAAAAGCAACCCCGTCCGACGCCTTGATATCCGGATGCCGATTGCTGCATCCCCCCGGGAAAACGGGTTTGGGGTGGAGCAGGGAGCAAGCAGTGAGCCCCCTCTCTCCTCCCCAGCCTCCCCGAGGTTCGCATTTCGGACAACGGTCCCTACGAGTGTCACGTGGGGATTTATGACCGAGCCACGCGGGAGAAAGTGGTCCTGGCCTCCGGGAACATATTCCTCAACGTGATGGGTGAGTGAAGCCCCCGGCTGGGTGGGACGGGAGGGGAACCGGCTGCGGGGTCCTTGGATGGGGTGACAACCAAATGTCATTTTCCCATACCCAGGGATGGGGATGGGGATGAGGATGGGGGCAGGGACAGAGAGAGGGATGAGAATGGGGATAGGGATGGGGATGGGGATGGGGATGGGGACAAGGATGGGGATGAGGATGGGGATGGGGACAAGGATGGGGATGAGGATGGGGATGGGGACAAGGATGGGGATGAGGATGGGGATGGGGACAAGGATGGGGATGAGGATGGGGATGGGGACAAGGATGGGGATGAGGATGGGGATGATGAGTCTGGGGATGAGGATGGGGATGATGAGGATGGGGATAAGGATGGGGATGATGAGGATGGGGTTGATGAGGATGGGGATGAGGATGGGCCTGATGAGGATGGGCCCAAGGATGGGGACAACGAGGATAGAGCTGATGAGGATGGGGATGAGGATGGGAGGGGGATGGGGTCGGGGATGGGGACAGGGATGAGGATGAAGATGGGGATGGGGATGTGGATGGGGATGGGGCTGAGGATGGGGGTGGGGATAGGGACAGGGATGAGGACAGGGATAAGGACAGAGACAGGGATGGAGATGGGGATGAGGATGGGGACAAGGGTGGGGATGGGGACAGGGACAGGGATGAGGACAGGGATGAGAATGAGGACAGGGATGAGGATGGGGACAGGGATGAGGATGGGGATGGCGTCAGGGATGGAGATGAGGATGGGGACAGAGGACAGGGACGGGGATGGGGATGTGGGTAGGCATGGAGATGAGGATGGGGATGGGGATAAGGACAGGGATGGAGACAGGGATGGGGATGAGGATGGGGATGGGGACAGGGATGGAGACAGAGATGGGGATGAGGATGGGGATGGGGACAGGGATGGAGACTGCATTCACCTGGGGCTGAGCCAGGTCTCCCGAGCGGGTCCCCATCCTCCAGCGATGCGGCCCCCGCAGCCAATCCTTCAGCCGCTACCAGGCACAGAACTTCACCCTGGTGTGTGTGGTCTCCGGCGGCAAGCCTGCCCCGCTGGTGAGCCCCCAGCGTCTCTAATCTTTCATGTACATGTATATATGAAACAAGCATAGAAATATATAAATATTAAAAATATATAATATATTGCATAAAAATAGATAAATATTAAAAATATATATGTGCTGCTTTTCAGGCAAAATAAGGCAAACAGCTGCCTGCTACCCAGATCTTGCCCTGCAGCATCTTTCCATGGGGACCTTGGGAAGGAGCCCAGTGCAATGCTACCCAAGGGGATGGGACGGTGGGGATGTCCGGGGTGGTGGCTGTCCCCACTGGCCTCACCTTCCCTTTTGTCCCCACGCAGGTGTACTTCAAGCGGGACGGGGAGCCCATCGAGGCCACCCCGCTGCCGGAGCCGCCGGCCGGCGCCGTGGGCTGGGGAA